TCAAAGCCAGAACACACACACACACTCTCTCTCTCCAGGAGACATTAATAGTAGCCCTGTCCAGCTCCTCTGCGACCTCCCCAGGCCCTGTGCCGAGCTCCCCAGCATGCATTCTCCTGGGCTTGGCAACCTGGGAGGTAGGTGCTCCGCTGCCATTTTGCAGATGCCTGCATGTAGCGTGTGGGGAGAGGCACCTAGAGCCTTGACTACCAAGTGGCACTGCCCTGAGCCTGTGCCATCCCTCCCAGAGCCCTCACTCGTACCCATTACATGGTCGTATTCGCTTGAGTCGCTCGGCGAGCGAGCGAGCGAGTTGTGCAAATTGCTAGGTGAGAGTCATGCCGAGCCTGCACATGTGGAAACGCTGTCTGAATTGCGGTAGAACCTGTTGAGCCTCAATTGGCCTCTCTAGTCACGTAAGAGCACAGAAATAGATCATGGGAAACCGGCCTCAGTGGGGAGGGGTCATCGGCGTCATGGGCAGAGGAGTGTGAAGCGTGTTCCCCGCCTCCTTCCAAATTCTCTCAAGGCCAAGACAGGGACAGGAGCCTTTCTTTTTTTCATTCTCCAAGGGACAGACAAGGTAATTAGACATTTAAAGAAGCTGCTGATTATTGACGAGGGAGGCCTAGGCTACCTGAATACTGGTGGGATGTGCTGTCTCCGTGGGTGGGCTTTCTGCCCGTACTGTCTGGAATGACACCCCACGGTGGAGCCAGGCTGAGCAGGCTGCCCGTGCTGGGAGCCAGGTGACCTGGGTTTAGGTCCCCATGCTGCCGCTGCTCAGCCACCTCTCTGTGAAGCTTGGTTTCCAAAGCCTGTCTCGGAGGGCTGGGAACAGATGGTCTCAAAGGACCCTTTCACCCTGAACCCTCCAGGCACAGAAACTCCCCAGAGTCAGGGATTGTCTGTTTCAGTCCCGAGTGTCACACAGTTCACTCCCTTGTCTTACATACTAAGCATTGAGGCTCTTCTGGGTGGGTCCAGCCCCTGGACAGCTCCAGGGTTCCCCCAAGTGGAGTAGAGGCGCCCTTTCCCTGTTGGTCAGGGTTTGTTTCCCAGCAATTCTAACTTGTGGTGTCTGACTTGTGGGGTGGGGGTGGGGGTGGAGCATGGCTTTTGGAGTGTTCCAAGCAGGAGCAGAGCTTGCCCCTTGCTGTTGTTGTGCTGGCGTCTACTTTGAGTTCCCAAAGGTACTGTCAGACCTGCTCCTTGTGGCCTGTAGCCTCTTATCTGCCTTGAGACCATATCCCTTTGCCTGGGACCTGATGTTCTAACTAAATTTCATGATTTTGTTGTTAGTTGAGGAGGTTTTACTCTGTAGCGTAGGCTAGCCAGGAGCTCCCTAGGGTTTTGTTCTGTACCCCAGGCTGGCCTAGAACCTACTGCAGTCTTCCTGCCTCAGCTTTCTGAATGCCGGCACGAACCACCATGGCTATCTGTGGTTGTTGTTGTTTATTTTGTTTTTTTGAGACAGGGTTTCTTTGCATAGCCATGGCTGTCCTGGAACTCACTCTATAGACCAGGCTAGTCTCAAACTCACAGCTCCACCTGCCCCTGCCTCCCGAGTGCTGGAGTTAAAGTATTATTTTGCTTTTGAGGCAGAATCTCACTGAGATACTCATTCTGGCTTTCAACTCACAATCCTCTGGCCTCAGCCTCCTGTGTATCTAGAATTATAGTGTGCAACTCCCCCTCATTCTTAGGCTAAGTCTGTATGGCAGTGGGCATAGAGTTTCTCCATTGGTCCCTCCTTCTGAGAGGCCTGGGCATCTCTCGTACTGATGGGATTCGTGGGGAGAAGAGGCCTGCTGGCTGAGAAGGAAGTATCAGTGAGGTGTCCCCTGTTATACCCATGAGCAGCTCTATACCTTCCGAGCCAGAGCTTTGCCCGGGCAGGGTCATGCTAGTGGCTTGACACAGGGAGCACTGCCCACCCAGCTGCTCCAAGGCCACCACTCCCCGGAGGATGCAAGGGTCTGAGTCTGTAGGGTAAGTAGCCAGTGCCTCTCTCTGGAGCCCTGGCACTTCTTTCCACAGGAAGTTCTCGGCATTGGTTCTATGCAGGTCAGCAAGAGGCCTGGGGTGGGCTTGGAGATTGGTAAAGTAAGGACCCAGGATCCCATGTGATATTGGCCCTCTTGGCTAGCCTAAGCTCTTAAACAGTCATCTCATTGAATGGAACATGCCCCTCTGTCCACTCTTTCCTCTCTCCCAAGGTTCTCCGACCTTTCTAGGTCCACCGGGAGGCAGCCAAGAGCCTCTTCCTGTCCCGACACACCCACTTCCCCTTCCAAGTGCTCCATTTGAATGGCAGCTGCTGTCACCTGCTCTGTTCTTGCCAAGCTGGCAGAGGACACAGATTCTTAAGGGGATTCCAGGCCAGCCAGGCTGTAGGTTCTGTGCCAGGCAGACTGCATTTTGGGGACCCCATTTTCCTTCTTTCCTGGCTCCCATCCTGAAAGGAGCCAGGTTGCTACCTGGCAGAGCCCGGCGGAGCCTGGCAAGCTTCATGCTGCCACAAATTAACATTCTCCTCCTGCATGGGGGCAAAGCTGCGCAGCAGAGAGCTCTGGCTAGCCTTCCACCTGCATACCAACGGGGCTGCGGTGCCCACTAGCAGCATAGAGCCAGGCCTCTCAGCAGTGTTAGCAGTGGGAGGGTCTCCCTTTCGTGAGGCCCTAGTTTTTCTGCAGGACTCCTTCCTGCAAGAGTCCTGCAGAGAAGACAGCCCTGCCTGCCACTGTTCCATCCTGGGGGGGCGGGGTTATCTGCTGGGAGCCAGGAACTTTTAGACACTTGCCCTTTCCTGGGCTAGTTAGCATCTAGCACCAGTAGCCCTAGCACTGCAAAGAGCAGTAGGTTGAAGCCAGTCCACTTCTTGGTGGAGTGATCAGTGTCAGGACCGAACCAGCTCTAGTTAGGAACTGCTACTCTGCAGCCAGCTTAGGGCTTTGCTGAATGCTGTGGGGGCTGGGTAGACTAGAGGCAGGCCCCCCCTGCTTTTTACGATGGTGTGGGGCACCCTTTCTGGGTGCCCGAGCATGGAATAGAGGGAGAGTGAGAGACTGTGCGGGGGGGGGGGGGGGGGGGGGGGGGGGGGTATTGTGTGTCTGTGAGTGTGACTCCACCCTTTTTTGGCCACATCTGGCCACTCCTGCAGATGTGGCTCTGGCCTGGTGGCCACAGAGTCGTCAGTGTGGCTGACAGAGAAACCACAGAGGAATGTGCTCAGCTTATGCTGGAGAAGGAGGGGGTACTAAGAGACATCCTTCTCAGGCTCTCCCCCGAGTCCCCACCACTGTCACCTCTAGTCGTATTAGGTATAATGGTATGGTTTGCCCCTGGGCTGGTGATGCCCTTCAGCGCTGTGTTCCCTGAGGACACATGTGTGTCGTGTGTGTGTGTGTGTGTGTGTGTGTGTGTGTGTGTGTGTGAGAGAGAGAGAGAGAGAGAGAGAGAGAGAATGAGTGTGATTTAGTGCCTACCATACACACCCTTCCCACACTTGACTTAGGGTCAGGAGTAGGGGGTGGAGGTGGTAAGAGCCCTGAGCACTGGCAACCATAAGGATCTCAGGGGTCTGTCTTCTCTCTGGCTGGGATGGAGTGGGCCATTTGGCTGGGGAACATCTTCCTAGCCCTATGTGGCCTCCCCAGGCAAGGGTGAGGAACATAGGAGTTTTCTTTGGCGAAGTGGAGAAGAAAAGGAGATGAGTTGTTGCTGCCTTTCTCGCTTCCTCCTTCCCAGGCAGCAGTATCCTGCCTTCCCCTTCCTGTTAGCTTCAGGCGGCTTTGTGGGGTGTGGGTTGGGCTTGGGGCTCCCTGCTGGTATGGTGTTTGCCTGGTTACCCTGGCAACCATTGGGCAGCGATGTGGAATGACGTTCAGTGACCAGAGGACAGTGCACAGGGATCAAGAGGTCAAGACCCAACCTTCCCATAAGCCAGTTGGAGCCTTTCCCATTCTACGGCCCATTGTCCATGGGAGCCCCAGAACCACCCAGTGGACCCTTCTACCACTTGGCCCTTTCTGGGGGATCCTCCGCTGGCTGGAGGCTGAGGTCCATGCCACAGCTCTAGCCCTCCCCGTGCCATCACTCTTCTTCCTGTCTGATTCCCTTTCCTTTCCTGTCTCCTCCTCCCACCTCCTCCCTGCACGCCCATTCTCTCACCCCTCCTCCCCCCAACACAGCTGCTGTTTGGCTCACTCTATATATAGCGGCATTTTCAGGGTAATTACAATAAAACTGTTGAAAGGAGATAATCCAGCAGAGGAAGCCAGGCTGACTGTCAGCCCCATCTTGTCCCTGGCTTGGTGCAGTCCTAACCCTCCCGAGGCCTCCTGTTCCCCACTCCCATGCCTGCCCCGCCCCACCTCATCTGCCCCAGCTGGGAATGAGACTGAGCTACTCACAGAGGGCAAGCTGTCTGGAAGGTCTCACAGATCCAGTTTCTGTTTGTCTTCAGGCACAGGCTTCGGGGAGGAGAAGGCAATGGGACAGTGAGTGAAAGCACATTAGATTCATATCTGCTTCTTTTGTCACCTGGCTGTGTCTGGTCAGGTCACTCAAACCTCTCTGCCTCAGTTTCCTTATCCATGACAGGGGTAATAATCGCAGAATCAAACTCGTGTATCACTGTGCAGTTTACAAATGAGTGGGCCATGGGTATGAAATGCTTGGTAGTAACTGTCGGTGACAGGCTCCGGTGTTAGTGTTGACATCTTCACACGCATGCACAGATAGGATTTGTTCCTCGAACCCTTGTACATGCCGGCTGACCCCACCTGCAGCCCTGTTGCATAGTTTCTTATTGAAGTTCATGACTTCAGCCTCGTCTAAAGAAAGCAGAAGGCAGCACCCATAGGTGGAGAGATTGATGTCATTCAGGATTTAGTGGACCTGTCTGGTTCGTCACTTGGGCCCTGGGGCCAGGCTGTTATGGCCTAGAGTGGTCTGGGGCTGGACCCACTGATTCCTTGTGTGTCTTGTGCCCACAGTGGAGGTGAAGCCGGTGCTGCCAGGAGCCATGCCCAGCTCCATGGGGGGTGGAGGTGGAGGTAGCCCCAGTCCTGTGGAGCTTCGGGGGGCGCTGGCAGGCCCCATGGACCCTGCACTACGGGAGCAGCAACTGCAGCAGGAGCTCCTGGTGCTCAAGCAGCAGCAGCAGCTTCAGAAGCAGCTCCTGTTCGCCGAGTTTCAGAAGCAGCATGACCACCTGACGCGGCAGCATGAAGTCCAGCTGCAGAAGCACCTCAAGGTGAGCGAGCGAGCGGGGCTCAGGGCCCAGCAGAGGCTCAGCCCTGCCGGGACCTGGCTCACCACTGCCTCTGCCCTCCTGCACCCACTGCAGCAGCAGCAGGAGATGCTGGCGGCTAAGAGGCAGCAGGAGTTGGAACAGCAGCGGCAGCGGGAGCAGCAGCAGCAGGAGGAGCTGGAGAAGCAGCGGCTGGAGCAGCAGCTGCTCATCCTACGGAACAAGGAGAAGAGCAAAGAGAGTAAGGCCAACGGGCGGTACCTGGGCCGCACCACACCGCACCCTGGCTCCAGGCACCCAGCTCAGCAGCGCCCTGTCCCGTAGGTGCCATCGCCAGCACCGAGGTAAAGCTGAGGCTCCAGGAATTCCTGTTGTCGAAGTCAAAGGAGCCCACGCCAGGCGGCCTCAACCATTCCCTCCCACAGCACCCCAAATGCTGGTAATGGCTCTGGAGGGCAAGGGCAGACAGAGGGTCCCTGCTCGGGCTTCCTGGTCATGGGAACAGCGTGGAGCACCCTACCTTGCACCCAGTTTTGAGTTCTGTGGTCTATTCTAGGAAGGGAGCTGTTTCTCTTCCTCCCCTTCCCAGGGTCCATTTTTTTCCCTTGTGCAGTGTGCACTCTTAGCTCCATGAAGAATAGGGGAGGTAACCGCCCCCCATGCAGCCTTTTCCATAGCTCTTCTTTGCTTTGCTGGGTGTGGTAGCATATGTTTATGGATGTAGAACTCAGGAAATAGAGGTGAAAGGATAGGGGTGCAAGTTTGTCTGAGGCCAGCCTGGGCTACAATAACAAGTCTGAGGCCAGCCTGGGATATATGAGACCCACAGAATCTCCCAAACCAAACAACCAGCTTATCAAGTGGCAGGTCTGGGGTAGGGGGTCTGTGGTAACCTACATCTGCTTCCACCCTCCCCCAGGGGAGCCCACCATGCTTCTTTGGACCAGAGTTCCCCCCCACAGAGTGGCCCTCCTGGGACGCCTCCCTCCTACAAACTGCCTTTGCTTGGGCCCTATGACAGCCGCGATGACTTCCCCCTCCGCAAAACAGGTGCGTGTGTCCCGGCTCCCAGGACTATGGCTTCTTGGGTAGAGGTGCAAAGGACATGGTGCTGCTGCTCTGAGTTGCCCCCATCTGGGCTGGGCTGGTTTCTGTGTAGCTGACTCTGAGCCCAGCTACTCTCTCTCCAGCCTCTGAACCCAACCTAAAAGTACGGTCGAGGCTAAAACAGAAGGTGGCCGAGAGGAGAAGCAGTCCCCTCCTGCGTCGAAAGGATGGCACTGTTATTAGTACCTTCAAGAAGAGAGCGGTTGAAATCGCAGGCCCGGGGCCTGGGGGTAAGGCCTCCTCTCCTGTCCTAATGGTGGAGGTCTGGGAGGAGGGGCGGCCTGAAGCAGGCCCAGGTGACAGCCACTTCTCCTGTAGTGTCGGCCGTGTGTAACAGTGCTCCCGGCTCCGGCCCCAGCTCTCCCAACAGTTCCCACAGCACCATCGCTGAGAACGGCTTCACTGGCTCGGTCCCCAACATCCCCACTGAGGTACCGGGCTGACAGAGGCCGGGTTGGCTTAGGGGGTACAGAAGTGCCTTTTCTTTCTTCTGGAAGGAGGAGTTTGGCTCTTTCTGGTCTAGCTGTGTGCTCAGCCAAGATGCCTCTGTGTTCATTCGGAGGGTTCTTGCCTGGAAAAGAGATTTGTCCCACAGGCCCCTGAAGAGGCCTGTGTCACCCCCACTTGGGGCTTAGAGTCAGGGGAATGAGAGACCATTCAGAGCCCTTGGCCTTGGTCTAGGTCACCCTTCTTGGCTGTCTCTCCTTTGCCTGCTTTCATGTCTGTCTCTCCCGACTGCTCCCTCAGATGCTCCCCCAGCACCGGGCCCTCCCTCTGGACAGCTCCCCAAACCAGTTCAGCCTCTACACGTCTCCTTCTCTGCCCAACATCTCCCTAGGGCTGCAGGCCACTGTCACTGTCACCAACTCGCACCTCACCGTAAGTACAGGGCACATATGTTAGCTAGGACGTTGCCAAGGCCCTAGGGGAGCTGAGAGGGCACCGCCTGATCTGGTGGGTGGGCAAAGAGCACCTGAGGGGTGCTGGTCTGAGTTGGCTAGACAGAGCCAGTATTGGTCCGTGCCTTATCTGTCATTACCCTCCAACTTCAGGCCTCTCCGAAGCAGCTGTCGACACAGCAGGAGGCTGAGAGGCAGGCCCTTCAGTCCCTGAGGCAGGGCGGCACACTGACCGGCAAGTTCATGAGCACATCGTCCATCCCGGGCTGCCTGCTGGGTGTGGCGTTGGAGGGCGACACCAGCCCCCATGGGCACGCTTCCCTGCTGCAGCATGTCTTGCTGCTGGAGCAGGCCCGGCAACAGAGCACGCTCATAGCTGGTGAGTGGGCGAACCGTGTGCCTGGGAAGGGGTGTTGGCTCTCATGGGGGCTCAAGTCAGGCCTATCTCTTAGGGAAACGTAGCCAGGGATACTCTCCAGGCCTGCCATCACCATCAGCAATATCAGTGCTTTCTTCCACATTCTGAAAGATCAGGTACCAGTGTTCGGAGTGCCTGGACAGAACCTGCTGCTGTCACCGGGTTCATATTCCAGAGTAGAGCTGGCCAGCAAGAATAGTGCCAGCCACGCTCTGTTTATTTAGCTAGGTTGTTTTGTTTTATTTTGAGGTGGGCTCACTGTGTCACTATGTAGCTCAGGTTGGCCTCAAGCTCATAGCAATCTTCTTTCCTCAGCTCCAGAGTGCTGGGATTCCAGACACAATGTATCACACTCAGCCACACACCATACACTGGACTTAAAACTTCCTAGTAGCTACATTTATACATTTTATAGAGGGCTGAGAAGGGGGCTCACTGGGTCAAGTGGTTGCACTCCAGCGTGGGGACCTGAGTTCAGATCAAGGTGGCAAGCAAGGGCTAACATCTGTGGCTGCCCTCTGACTTCCACATGCCATGCTGTACTCACACACATGAACATGTACATCATACACATGCCATTTTGCTTTTTTTTTTTTTTTTTTAGGCAGGGTCTCACTATGTAGTCCTGGCAGGCCTCAAACTCACTGTGTAGACCAGGCTGGCCTCTAACTCAGAGAGCTGCCTGTACTTCGCTGTGGTTAAATGGGGGGGGGGGGGTGCCAGCAAGCCCAGCAATAATTTTATTTTTCTTAAAGAAATGAGTGGAATTAATCTAATAATATATATTTAACTCCTATCTAGAATATTATAATTTCAGTTTTTGTTTCATGCTGAGCTTTGGAATCCCATATATGTACTGGTAGCACAAGTCAATGTGGCCATGTTTTGAAGGCTCCGTCACATACGGTTCATAGCAGTGACGTTGCACAGCGTTAGACAGTCAGCCCTTACTACTGACCAACATTCTTAGGGGCTCCTTGGCCCAGAACTTGTCAGGCTGGAACGAGTTGGCTGCCAGGGATGTCTGTGGTAGTTGGAGAAAACCAGTTATTGCCTCTGCGTGTGCTGAGCCCAGGACTGCCTGAGTTAGGCAAGCCAAAGGGACAGAAAGGTCACCCTAGGAAGGCTTGCTGGTGCCAGTGGCTCTGAGCTCACTGTTGAGGTATAGGGAGGAAGGAGAACGCAGCTCAGCCTCGGGGACGGGGTGCCCCCAATAGTGCTTACTCCCGTTCTCCACCTCCGTAGTGCCTCTCCACGGGCAGTCCCCACTGGTGACGGGTGAGCGCGTGGCCACCAGCATGAGGACAGTGGGCAAGCTCCCGAGGCACCGGCCTCTGAGCCGCACTCAGTCCTCGCCACTGCCGCAGAGTCCCCAGGCCCTGCAGCAGCTGGTCATGCAGCAGCAGCACCAGCAGTTCCTAGAGAAGCAGAAGCAGCAGCAGATGCAGCTGGGCAAGGTACGTGCAGAGAGGCAATGCCCTGGGCGACCCAGGGGTGACCCGGGCTGGCAAGACATGTGAGGGCTGAGCCTGGGGAGCTGTGTGCTTTCCACCTTCCGAGTCACATACAGGTGACAGGTGCCTGGCCCGGAGAGAGAGAGAGAAGGGTAGCAGACCAACTGAGGCTAAAGTTTCCCACCCCCAGTTGACGCGGTTTCTTCTCTCAGATCCTCACCAAGACTGGGGAGCTGCCAAGGCAGCCCACCACCCACCCTGAGGAGACAGAGGAGGAGCTGACAGAGCAGCAGGGGACCATGCTTGGGGAGGGGCCCTTGGCCGTGCCCCGGGAAGGCTCTACAGAGAGTGAGAGCACCCAGGAAGACCTAGAAGAGGAGGAGGAGGAGGAGGAAGAGGAAGAGGAAGACTGCATTCAGGTCAAGGATGAGGAGGGCGAGAGTGGTCCCGAAGAGGGCCCTGACTTAGAGGAGTCCAATGCTGGTTACAAAAAGGTACCTCCCACACACTTGGTCTCCGCCCGCTGTCCCTCCACATTCCCTGACTTCCACCCTTGTTGGTCGGTCCCCAGTGGGGCGGTTGCCAGGTCTTGAGCAGCTATCTGAAGAACTAGAAGGGAGGAGACCAGGAGGGAGGGAGAGGGGTCTGCTGTGTGGTCCCTGAGCTGTGCCTGTGTGCCAGTCTCCCTCTGTGACTGCCCTTGTCTTTCAACGGTGTGATTGGTGCGAGTGCGCATGCACAGGGTCTGTGTGTGTCTGCGTCTGTGCCTGCGTCGACGGTTGTGCGTCGGTCCCTGCGTGCATGCGCACATGTGTACACACACACGCCCCCACTGTTACTACAGTGTGCCTTGAGCCTAGCGCTCCATTCATTGCGGACACAGCCCCAAGCCCTTAGGCCTGACTCATCCCGCCCCCACCCGCCCCCGCCCCTCTCAGCCTCTTACCTCAATGCTACTATTTGGAGTGACTCATCACATCCCCCATCTTCCCCATCTTGCAGGAGATGGCAAGGCTGGAGCTCCTTCTGTCCCTGGAGGGAGCAAGTGGGAGGAGGTGGTGGAAGGAGACTTGGGGGCCCTCTGGAGGCTGAAAGGGCTCTGTACTCAGTCCCATTCAGACTGAGGCTTACACAGGCCTCTTTTGTACTCCTTTTCAGTTGTTCACAGATGCCCAGCAGCTACAGCCCTTGCAGGTGTACCAGGCACCCCTCAGCCTGGCCACGGTGCCACACCAGGCCCTGGGCCGCACCCAGTCCTCGCCTGCTGCTCCTGGGAGCTTGAAGAGCCCCCCAGACCAGCCGCCCACTAAGCACCTCTTCACCACAGGTAAGCCTCATCACTGCCCATCCCCTCCCCTCGCCATGCACCAGTAGCACCCGAGGTCCTACATACACACTGCACAGAGGGAAGGGGGGGCCTTCATCTGCTCCCTGTGCACCACAGCAATTCACAGAGCAGCTGCAGTTTCTTTCCCAGCAGCTTTGCCCCTACTCCCTGGGGCAGCATTGTCTCTGTGCCCCCCTCTCCCCACCTGGGGCATCTGCTTTTGCACTATCTTCCAACAAGGCCTGGGCCTTGGATGGAGTCCACTGTCTCTTAGTTTTTGCCCTTCCAGCCTCCTGTCCTCCTTTCCGAAACCCTGTGGGGTTGACAGTGAGACCTCAGTAGAATCCAGAAGGCTTTGCCCATGAGGCTGCCACGTGCTGGGTTCTGACAGGGCCCGGACTTGCTGAGGATGTCTCACCACTGGGGAACAGTGCATTCGAATGTTAGGGGAGGGAGGAATGTACGGTGGGGACAGTGTAGGGGATGCAGAGGACAGAGATTGTGATAGATGTGGAGAGAGGAATTTCAGGAGAGGAGAGAGCGTATGTCGTCGGTGGATGTTGGCGGATAGCTAGGATAGCCAGAGACAGTTGCTTGGACAGGGTGTGGGTTAGGGTTCACAACAGTTCTGGCTGACTCAAGGGTCTGTGGCTCAGGTGTGGTCTATGACACGTTCATGCTGAAGCACCAGTGCATGTGCGGGAATACGCATGTACACCCGGAGCACGCCGGCCGCATCCAGAGCATCTGGTCCCGGCTGCAGGAAACCGGACTGCTCAGCAAGTGTGAGGTGAGGGAGCCCCCTGGCTTTAGCTGGAGACTTCCATCAGAGTGATCCCCTCCTAGCAAAGGGGGTCCCACACCCTAGCTCTCCAGTCAGTTCTGAGACTTCCTGGGTTCCATCCCTGATGGTCCGTTTCCCTCATGGTCCCCGGCTAACCTGGGGAGAGTAGGGGTCTCTCAAGGGCCAGGACATAGTTACTCAACATCCTTTAGTTCTCCTGGAACTTGGCTCTTGTGAGCTGTAGTTGTCAAGAGAGTTGAGCCTTGTCAACGCTCTCTGGCCTCTCTTGACCTCCTCTGGCAGCGGATCCGGGGTCGTAAAGCCACGCTGGATGAAATCCAGACAGTGCACTCCGAGTACCACACCCTGCTCTATGGGACCAGCCCCCTCAACCGGCAGAAGCTGGACAGCAAGAAACTGCTTGGTGAGCTGCAGGGCATGGTCCCACGAGTGCCCTCCGTCCGAGCGTGATGGGGCTGTCGTGAAGGCCACCAAGCCAGAGCAGGCGGTGGTCTTAGTGGGTGCCATTAGCATAGATGCCGAATGAACACACATGTAGGGCATCAGGCATAAGGGTGGACCTGATGGTGGCAGGTGGTCTGTGTCTCTTCCCAACCGACAATGTCCTTACTATTTGGCTCTAGAGGTAGGTCATCTCCCCTAGAACAGGAGATAGAGGCTCTCAGCTGGCAACTGGGACACCTTTCAGAGCACCTCTGTCCCTTTCCCGGCAGGGCCCATCAGCCAGAAGATGTATGCCATGCTGCCTTGTGGGGGCATTGGGGTGAGTTGGATGTGTGCGAGGGGGAGTGGGCAAGAGGCTCTCCCAGCTTGGCCCCTTCCTTCCTGGCCTCCTCTCTGGTGCCCACTCCCATCCCTCCCCTCCCCCCGCAGAGGGCACACTGAAGCCTGATCTCCTGCCCCTGCAGGTGGACAGTGACACTGTGTGGAATGAGATGCACTCCTCCAGTGCCGTGCGAATGGCAGTGGGCTGCCTGGTGGAGCTGGCCTTCAAGGTGGCTGCGGGAGAGCTCAAGGTACAAAGATACGTATGGACTCTGCTCCTTGGCTGGGTTCTGTGTCTTCCAGAGCAGACATGTGGGGGCAGCATTGACTTCCCTTCAGCGAGACATTGTCCTTTGCAACTTTTCAGTCCAGTGCTAAGATGGGGAGAAACCCCAGGGATAGGCGTGGTTTGAGGGTCATGAGGGACCAGGTAGGCACCAGTGCCTGAGGCTCTTGTGCGTATCTGCAGAGGAGAGATAGTGACTTGCCTGGGGGCCCTGCAGTTGTCATTCCTAAAGTGTATTTCTGTGTCCCCATCTCTGCCCGGCTTGTGCTTCTCTCGTGTCTATCCTGTCCCTGACCACGTGGCTCTCCTGACAGTTGTCCTTTTCCTTGTACTTCAGAATGGATTTGCTATCATCCGGCCTCCAGGACATCATGCTGAGGAGTCCACAGCCATGTGAGTACTGCTCTGACCTGGCCCCGGCCCTCTGCCATCAGCCCTTCCTGTCTTTGACTTGGAGCAAACCTCACATCACTGAACTTGCCCTCTCCTCCCCATACCCCTCAGGGGATTCTGCTTCTTCAACTCTGTAGCCATCACAGCTAAACTCCTGCAGCAGAAGCTGAACGTGGGCAAGGTCCTCATCGTGGACTGGGTAGGCAGTGGGCTGGGATGCCTGGGCAGGGAAGGGCAGAGCTGTGCCAGCAAAGGCCTTCAGAGGTGCCCCCACCTCTGGGCAGCCTGCTCCACTTCTGGGCGGCACCAAGGCTCACTCCAAGTGGCCTCACAGTTGGATAACTTTATAGCCTTCCTGCTTGGTCATGGGGGGGGGGGGTTCTTTCATTCCAGTAGGCCTGCTCCTCCCTGGGAGACCCCAGTGTGTTTTTAGCCTTATTTACCATATCTCCCCCTCACAGCCTCCAGAATCGAGGTGATTTGCTACCTTGAGCAGTAGGGACAGGGATGCTACCACTGCCCTTACCATCAGGGCTGCTGTGTGCCAGGAACCTGACACTGTGCTGCCCATGGCCGCCTCTAGCGGTACAAGAGTAGTCATCCATTTACTTAGCTGGGATGCCCTACCTCTGCCCCAGAGGCTGTGGGCCTTGCTCAACCTTCTGCTGTCATAGCAGGGAAAGTGCACACACCACTCACTGGGCTTGAGGAATCACTAGGCAGGTGATCAGCAAGGGCAGAGTGCCCAATTTTGGTTTAAGAACTGATGTGTTCAGTGTGATACACAGTTGTAATCCAGCACTCAGGAGGCTAAGGCAGGAGGATTGAGAGTTCAAGGCTAGCCTGGACTATCTAGTGAGATCCTGTCTCAAAATAAAGCAAATTCATGTAAATGTTGGATCCTCCTTCAGAATTTATTTGCCTGTGTTAAATTTCTTACCAGCCTGAGTTTCCTTTGTACTTCAGTGGAATGGGTTCTGTAGGGAGATAAACCATATTCATCCCATGGCTGTAGAGCCTGGACTCAGTGTCACAGCCCCGGAGCCATGGGTGGGCTCATCTCCAGAGCTAATGATGGTGTGTGTGGGGGAACAGCTGGCATGTTAAGCTTTGGATTAGAGCTTAGACTGTTGCCCAAAGCACCCTCCACTTCTCATCAGGACATTCACCATGGCAACGGCACCCAGCAAGCATTCTACAATGACCCCTCTGTGCTCTACATCTCCCTGCACCGCTATGACAATGGGAACTTCTTTCCAGGCTCGGGGGCTCCTGAAGAGGTAACTGTTCCTAGGCTTCCATGCGAGTCCTTCTGGGAGGTGGCAGGCTGGGGCCTGGCAGGAAGCCACGGAAGTCCACTCATGGTTCTGTTTCTTGTGGCCTATGAGGACTCCTAGTGGGAGGACCACACAGGTCTGACTGCCAGCCTGGCAAAGCAGAGGTCAATGGAGGGATGCCTTGGCATCAAGGGGTGGGACAGTATTTGGGATCCCCAGTGATGGTACTCTCTCCTACCTTACACCAGGTTGGTGGAGGGCCAGGTGTGGGCTACAACGTAAACGTAGCGTGGACAGGAGGTGTGGATCCCCCCATTGGAGATGTGGAGTACCTGACAGCCTTCAGGTGGGGACTGAGAAGGGCCAAAGGAGGGGTGGGGACAGCAGGCACTCAGCTGGGGTGGGGGAGGGCCATGGCCTCAACAGAGAACAGAGCGTGGCAAGGCTCAGCCTGGCCTCTGCTGCCATCAGCTTGGGCCATCCCTTTACAGGACAGTGGTGATGCCCATTGCCCACGAATTCTCACCTGACGTCGTCCTAGTCTCCGCTGGGTTTGATGCTGTTGAAGGACATCTGTCTCCACTGGGTGGCTATTCTGTCACCGCCAGATGTGAGCCTACTAGGGGTCTGGGAGAGTGTGGAACACCGAGGCACGTGGGACAGGGGGTTGTCAACAGTGGGAGCAAGTCCCACCGTTCTGCCGCCCTGCTGTGGGGCCAGCAAGTAGAAGTGGAGTAGCAGACGAAGTATCTTCCACTGGAGCTCCCTGGCCTTGACCTTCCCAAGATGCTCCTAGAGGGTCCAGAGATGCATTTCATCTTAGCCTGTTCTTCATTAAGCTCACTGACAATTCACTTCATTGTAGATGAATTGGGTTTAAGTCTGCTGTCATATTTTGTGCTGTCTGTCTCATTTCTTTTGTTTTTCTTTCTTCTTCTCTTTAATACAATTTGCCATTCGTCCTTTTCTCTTTACTCCTGTGCAAAGGTTTTGGCCACTTGACCAGGCAGCTCATGACACTGGCAGGGGGCCGGGTGGTGCTGGCCCTGGAGGGGGGCCATGACTTGACCGCCATCTGTGATGCCTCTGAGGCCTGTGTCTCGGCTCTGCTCAGTGTGGAGGTAAGTGGGGGGCAGAGAGGTGGGACAACGGGTGGGCACTGACGGGTCAGCAGGGACATCACTTCCCTGAGTCAAGTGGCCCCGAGGGCTCCGTGAGGTTTGCCTAGGTCTGAGAGGAGCTGGCCAGGAAAGGCTTTCTGACCAGGGCTTCCTTCCAAATCAAGTGCTTGCCGGCACAGGAATGTCAGGCTGAATGGGAGAGAGTTGGAGAGCTAAGCATTGCTCCTTGTCCCATGCTGACCCTGCCCTTCTTTCTCTGCCAGCTGCAGCCCTTGGATGAAGCAGTCTTGCAGCAGAAGCCCAGCGTTAATGCAGTTGCCACACTAGAGAAAGTCATCGAGATCCAGAGTGCGTGGGAAAGGCTCACAGTGCAACCTGCCCGGGAGGCAGGGCTTATGGGAGGTGTACCTTATAGGAAAGGCACACTTACCTCAGTCTGCTTTCCCTGAACCCGTCTGTCCCTCTCCCACAGGCAAACACTGGAGCTGTGTACAGAGGTTTGCCGCTGGTCTGGGCTGCTCGCTGCGGGAGGCTCAGACAGGCGAGACAGAGGAGGCCGAGACTGTGAGCGCCATGGCCCTGCTTTCCATGGGGGCTGAGCAGGCCCAGGCTGTCGCCCCTCAAGAGCACAGCCCCAGGTAAGCACCTCACTTCCCATCCCCGTGCCCTGGCCTAAGGTAGTGCTCTCTACTCAGTGTCCTCCCTGTGCTTGTCTCCACAGGCCAGCAGAAGAGCCCATGGAGCAGGAGCCTGCCCTGTGACACCCTGGCCCCCATCCCTCTGGGCTTCATCATTGTGATTTTGTTTATTTTTTCTATTAAAAACAAAAAGTCACACATTCAACAACCGTGTGCTGTGTGGGTCTCTCAGTCTTGCTATTCCAAACTTTTTCAGCCTAAAAAATCCATTCCTTCTATAGGGGCTGGGTGTCTGCTTTGCCCATGTTGTATCCTATACCCAGTTTCCTGTACTCTCTTCTTTTCCACCTTGGACAGTACTCCAGGTGGTACCTCCAGGTCTGGAGCTAGCTGAGATGGGAACAGTAAGTTGGTGCCTTGGCTTCAGCTAGCTTTCAGGGAATGCCTTAACCTCCGCCCCTCTCCATCCTCAGGAGGACCACTACTGAGGGAAGCAGAGGGAAGGTAGGCTTCTCCCCTGTACTTCTCCCCTTTCTCTCTGTCCCCCTCACCATTCTGAAGACCTCTCTCCTCTCCGGCTTCATCAATGGAGACTTGTGCCCAACTTTCTTGTCTCACACTCCCAGGGGCCCAGGTGGGTTACCAGGGGCCAGGAGGACCTGCATACGCAGGCTCACTGTCCACTATATTCTGTTGACCTCCCTGCCTTGTGAGGGGAGAAGGTAGATCCCGGGGGGTCTTCAAGTTCATGCAAGCCCCTCTGATGTTCTAGACCAGATTTTCTCTTCTGCCTGCAGCAAGCAGAAGCATCAAGACTCAATTCCCTTCTGGAGCCTTTTTGCTTTGAAGCCTGGGGATGGTGAATGAGGTGGTTCTGGAATGGACAGGGCCAGAACGGTGCCCAGAAGCTGCCCCACCCACTGATGAGAGGGAGCGTCAGCTCTCAGCAGGTTGTTAGAAGCTGTCTGTCTTCATTCCCAGTAGCCCTGTACCTGGAGGCTGGAGCCCACAGGCTTCCAGTGACTGTGGTCTAGCCTGTAGGAAACCAAAGACGGGAAATGGCTCCTAGGAGCCAACTCTTCTTCCTCTATACAACATACCCTTTTTCTCCTTCCATCCCCGGGGCCCAGCTATCTGTTTACATATTATCCTGATGGGGGCCTGAAGAGGGTTGAGGGAGCTGGAAGTCCCACCACTATTAGTTTTCTCTGTGTGTCATCTAGAGCCTCCTTGCACTGAGTCCAAGGCTCCAGACCTCTCACTCACCCTGTGGGCGGTCTCATTCTGATGTACACCCACTCCTGCCGCCTCCCTGGACATGGATTTTAGTTCAGTGTTTTGTAGCCCGTCACACTGTGCCCTTGTGTAAATAAACTTGTTTGTGACAGTGCCTTCTGGGAATGATGTCTGTTCTGTGGGTTCTTAAATGGAGTGAAAGTTCTCATTGCTTTCTTAGCCAAAATTCTGCCTTTTCTTCAGCCTTGGACTAGAACTCAGTCTGAGAGACTGAAGGCCTGGGTGAGAGAGCTCTGTCCCATTGGGGAAAACCGGGTTCCACTAAACTGTCGCCGTCATATCTAAAGAGATCTCTGCTCTGGCCTCGGCAGGAAGGAGAGGGTTTGTCTCAGCTGCGTTTCCAGGCCCTTTTGCTTTTGTCTTTGTAGAGACAGGAATGGGGTGGAGGTCCCATTGGTACATATGGAGGCAAGGGCGGTGGAGACGTGAACACAGCAAGAAAGGAACTCAAACGTTTCAAGGGCTTTATTGGGGCCTTCCTGAGCTGCTTATCAGTGTCAGGAACCCAGCTCCCTATCCCCAGCAGGCCTGCTGTTGCTTTTGCTTTGTGGGGACCTGGGGGAAGGCAAATGGCTTAGCCTCCTTGAGAAACAGAGGTCCTTCTTTCAAAGGGGCTAAGACTGCAGGATATGAGACAGAAGTGAAGGCCAAGGTGAGTGGACCGGCTTTGGAGCCCAGGAAAAGGGCCACCTTTTAGAGTGTGGTGCTAAAGGAGTGTTGTCTTTGAGGCAAGAGAATGGCAAAGGAGGCAAGACACTTCAAGAGGAGCGAATGGGCGGTGTTTCCTGGGCACTGAATGTGTGTACCACCCAGGGCACAAGGGCCAAGACCAGGCATGGCCAGAGAGTATATTTGAGGAAGTTGAAGATGTAGAAGAGGCTCATCTGAGGTGGGTGGCCCAGCCATTCCAGGAAAAACAGCAGCCCTATGGCCAGCAGAAAGCAAGCTATTTTCTGGCCTTTTCCTAGGTGTGCCCGCCGTATCTGGGCATAACAAGGAGAGTGGAGGGCAATGCCTAGGCCCAGAGCAGCTCCTGAGTCACGGCTCAGTGAGGCAAAGGGCCGGCTATCCAGGCGCACCCACTCGGGCCGCTCACACCACTTGGAAGCCAGGCTGACAGACCTGAAGGGAAGGAGAGTGTTTGCCAGCAGGGCCTGGAATCCAGCGAGCCACTGGCTCTTAGCTGTCTTCCCTTGGGGGGCCTGCCCCCATGCACTGTGACCCCGCATCTCTGTCTAGGAACAGCCATGTGTTCTTTTACAGCCACAGTGAACCAGAGACTCTATCTAGGTATAGGTGAGACTGACCAGACTACAAAGCAGGACTTACCAGGAGAGATCGAGGCCCAGTGTAAAGAGAGTCCAGTACATGAGGCTGGCACCCAGCATGAGGGCCAGAGCAGTCAACCCATAAAAGCTAAGTTCTCGCTCCATGGGCACCCGGTGGGCCATCAGCCAGCCAAGGACGACACCTAGATGGGGGCAAAAACAGTTTTAAGACTTCTGGGAAAATGACCTACTCCCTCACCTGCAATTCATCTAAGCTGGCAAACAGACTAAGACAAAGGTGGGAACCTTGAAGTTGGCTCTCCAGAAGCTAGGAATGCTGGGAAGTTCCTAGACTGGTCCTCCCACTGCCAAAGACACCCTCTTGGCCCACGCTGTTGCCCCAATTGCTCACCACTTATAAGGCCAGCCAACACCTGGTGAGGGAAATGTGCTAAGAGGAAGACCCGAGAGAGGCCGACTGCCAACAGGAAGGTGCAATAAGCCAGGCTAGGAATCACCCTAATCCAGGGGCTAGGAAGAAGAGAGACAAATGGCTCAAGGGATGTCCAATGTGGCTTAATTTTCTTTAGCATCTAAAGACTTCAGAGTTTGAACCAACACCCCCAGGTCACCATCATTCCAGCTCCCAAACGTCTGTGGAGACGTTGGGGCCCAGAATGCTCCTACTGGTGGGCAATACCAAGGTCATACCTGCGGTACCGAGAGGCCACCTGGGAAGAAATGGCCGTCATTATGGGCCAAAGAGCTGCTCCTGTGATCATGCAGTGACCAGAAGGGCTGCCTGCAGGGAGATCCGGAAGTTCAACGTGAAAAAATAGAGGTGAGACCCAGGTGCCTATGGTGAACCCTGGACACATTTGCCTCCTCTGGATGTAAAGGCAGCTTTCTCCAGTCCCAGCCTGCTGGGAGCTCTTGCCTGATGCCTTTCTCTTAAGGCCACTGCTCTCAAGCTTCTACCTTGCTATGCCCCCAGTTTTAGTCTCCGAGGCAAACAGCTGTCATGAGGCATGTCACTCAACCTGGTCTTCCCAGAGTTTGTTTTCTGGACCAGTAACTTGAGAGGCTGGGCCTGTGTGGACCACCCTAGCTGAGGTATATGGAAATGTTTACCCGAACCTTAACTACATCAGGAATGGGAGGAAGCTGAAACTTTTCCCACCTGGACCAGTCTCACAAGAAGAGGGGAACTGGCGAATCTGGACAGGAGTCTGGGTGGAGTACCCAGACTCATGCACCCACCAAAAAGGCCTGTCTCCAAACAGAATCCTGGAAGAGACAAGATACAAGACCATATAACACACACACTAGAGGGATACCATCTGGAGGACCCACTGGGTGCCCTCTGAAGGTTACTCTGATTTAGCTATTACCTTACCAGGATTTGTTACTTTGGAGCACAGAAAAGCACACATTTTCCTTTTAAAGTGGTATGGAGGCCAGAGGATGGAGAGAAACTGTGTGTTGTGGGATGGCGCATGTGCTCCGAGACACACATGCTACTCTTATCCCTTCCGATGGATGGCCGGCTCTTCTCAGGACCTGGCTTTCTGACCTCTCTCCATCCCTGCTCCCTCTCTCAGATTCCTGGTTCTAGCCTGAACCATGTAGGGTGAGTCTTGAGTATGAAACTGGGAGGAGGGGATGGACAGAGGAGCCTGAGAAAAATCAGGAAAACAAAACAAAAAAACAAACAAAACAAATCCCCTGGCCTAGCAGGTGCTTGTTCAGTTGCTGGAGAACCCCACAGAGAAGAGGCTGCTACGACTTAAAAAAAAAAAAAAAAAAGAGAAAAGGTGGGAGAACAGGAAGCAAAGTGCCGGGGAGGAAGATTTCAGAAAGGACTTGCCTTTTCCCGCCAAAAACTCAGCCTCACACACATCAAATGTTGACCATAAACCTATAAAATGAATTTGGTGTCAGGCATGCTAGTGTATGCCTGTTGTCCCAGCACTGGGGAGACTGATGAAGGAGGAGCACCATTCTGGGTTAGAAGGTGAGCCTTCCTCTCAGTGGAAGAGGAGGAGGAGAACAATTAGAGGCTTTGGATGTTAAGCACTGGGCTTATCCAGACTCCAAGGGAGGAGACAGCACAAAGCATAGGAGAGGGGCCCTTAGGCCAGAAGGAAATAATTGGACAACTGCTTTTAGGTTTGCAAGCCCTGTGGGCTTTGGGATGAAGCCCTTGTGGTGAAGGGTGGGGGAAAAGAGGGACTTACAGTCTAGAGCGCAAGGCTTCCCTTTAGTCACTAGTGTTTAGTATCTTTTAAACTTCACTGGGCACACAACAACCAGGGAGCCTTGTTAAAATGCAGAACTGGCCTGGAGCCTGAGATTCTGTACTTCTAATAGGTCTTCAAGCATTGTCTATGCTTCTGAGCCTGGACCAGGGACATCTTAATTTAAAAAAATTAAGCAAAAATTAAGCAAAGCAACTGGTGCCTAGCATAATGTCAAGCCAACGAATAGATGAATGAAACGGTCAGGTAAGAAAGAAAACTTTCGGCTACTTAAATTTCTAGCCATAGTCTCTAAAATGCCGAGTTCCGACTACTACTACTAAATTAGGAGTTTCGAAATCAGCAGGTCTCTGGCGGGAGACGGTATTTGCAGTTGAACACGCCCCTTAAGTGATTTCTGCGCGACAGTTGGAGGATGAATGAAGTGTGAGGTCTTTAACTAAGATATAAAGAAACTCAAGGTGAAAGCCAGCGCCTAAAGGATAAGTGTGGCATTGCCTTTGAGGTACCTACTTGAGGGAAACCAGGGCCCCAAAGGGGTAGGGGACCAGGATGCCCGAAGGCTTCTCTGTCTCACCACTTGAAGACGAGGTTGAGCCACTCAGTAATGAAGGTGATCCAGAGCACGGAGATACCCAGACGGCGAGAGGTGTAGTAGGCCGCGGGGAAATAAAACACAAAGAGGTTCTTGGGATCGCCCAGAAAGGTGACCCAGAGCCACATATTCTCTAGCCCGGGGAGCCGGTTCTGCAGCGCTTCAGCCATCGCGATGCCCGCGCTCAGCGTGGACTCCATGGCGAGTCAGGGGTCCTCCAGGCTGGAGTTCCGTGGTAGTGAGCAAGCGGAGGAACCTTGGCAAAGACCAAACGGCTACCTGCTTGCCCTCCCTCTAGCCCCCAGGTCTCGCCCTACCCGCCAATGGTCTAAGATAAGCCCCACCCCCACCCCACCCGTCCCCGCCCCGCAGTTGCTGGCACGCGCAAGTTGGGCCTGTGACCCGTACTATTTCCTCGGGCGTTCTAGCTCGGCCTTCCTTTCTACTGGACAGCGGAAGGGACAAACCTTTGCAAAGGCGTTTCCTCAGGGCCCCCACGTGGCCGCTGTTGCTAGCACGTGGGTTGCCGGCACAGCGCGGAAAGCCGCTGCCGTTCCGGGTCAGGGAAACCTGGGACCGGTGGTGCTTCCCGGTCCCTTGCTCTGCTGCTGCGAAGATGACGTCTAATATCCAGGGCCAAGTTACCTTCTGGATCTGACCTCTCTTCTCCGACATCACCACCCATTTCTCTCAAATCTAGATCGTTTGAAGAGAAGGGAGTCATAGCGGAGTTCCTCGAGTTGCACGCGTCCTTAAATCTATCTACTCTGTCTCTAGCTCGGGACCTGGCTTCTCAGGACCTGGCTTTCTGACCTCTCACCACCCACTCTTAAGGATATCCCATCCTGCTTCAAGCATGTCACGCCTCTTGATTTTGAGAAGCCTTCCCTCAAGAACTCAGTGCTTAAAATGTGCGCGTTATGTGCGGAAAAACTCGCCTTGCCTTCAATTTCTTTGCCATTTAAAACCCACTCTGGGCAGACATAGTGATAACATGGCCGTGAGAAGAGGAAGAGCACAAGCCTCCAGTCTTTGAAATAATTTGGAGGGACACAGAAAAAATCACAACTGTTTAGAGGAATTTTGCTTACAGGAAGGCGCCTGTTGATGCACCTCTTTAATTTCTTCCCTCCCTTCCTTCCTTCCCTCCCTCCCTCTCGCCCTCTCTCCCTCCCTTCCTCCCTCCCTCCCTCCCTCCCTTCCTTCCTTCCTTCCCTTAGACAATGTTTCTCTGTGTAGTCCTACCTGTCACAGTACTTTTTCTGGAGGATAGGCTGGCCTGGAACTCCGAGATCTGGCTGGGATTAAAGGCATGTGCTGCCTACCATACCCAGCTTTTTGTTTGTTTATTTGTTTGCTTGCTTGTTGTTTTTTCAAGTGCTATGTATAGCACTGGCTGTCCTAAAACTCACTTAATTGACGCCGTTGTAGATCCATAGATCTGCCTGCCTCTGCCTCCAAGGGCTGGGACTAACGGTGCACTGCCATACCTGGAACTCTGATTTCTTGGTGCCTCCAGCAACTTTGTTTTTGAAGTCTGAAAAGTGGATGTAAATGAGGATATAAAATTATTTGCTTTTGTTTTGTTTTTTATTTTTCAAGACAGGGTTTCCCTGTGTAACAGGTCCTGACTATCCTGGAACTCCCTTTGTAGACTAGGCTGGCCTTGAACTCACAGAGCTCCACCTGCCTCTGCCACCAAGGTGCTGGTATTAAAGGGCTCTGGCATCATGCCCAGCCACACCACCCACTCTTAAGGATTCTTTGAAATCTGCTTGAGATCTTAAGGCTTTGCTTGAGATCTTCTCTTAAGGATTCTTTTGAGACCTTCACAACTTCACCAATCTATGTCAGCACCCTGGTGTACAGATTGAGTTGCTAGGGATCCAATCCAAGGCCTGGCACACAAGAGATAAATCCTTAACCACTGAATGAACTATACCCTCAGGCCATGCTTTACTTTTTTTAACGTTTTTTTTTTTTTTTTTTTTTTTTTTTTTTTTTAGACAAGGGTTTTTCTGTGTAGCCTTGGCTGTCCTGGACTCACTTTGTAGACCAGGCTGGCCTCAAATTCACAGAGATCCACCTGCCTCCGCCTCCTTGAGCACTGGGATTAAAGGCATGCTCCACCACACCCCGCTTTTAAAGATTTTTTTTTTTTTTTAATTGTGTCTCTCCTTCCACTAGAGTCTTCCCCGGCCACCGGCCACTTTGATGGTATGGGACTTGAACTTGGATCTTCTGGAAGATTTATATTGTTGGATCCATCCGGAGAGATAGCTCCGCAGTTAAGAGCACTTGCAGCTCTTACAGAGGACCCAGATTCAATTCCCAGCACCCAAAGGTGGTTCACAACCATCTATAACTCTACAGGGGATCTGATACCATCTTCTGACCTCCACAGGCACCAAGCACACATAAGGCACACATACACCTATGCAGGCAAAATACTTACCAAAAAAAAATTTAATGAACTTAAAAAAGTCTTAAATTGTGTGTAGTTCTGAGGGAGTATCACAAAATCTAGTAAGGTAGCTTACTCCAGCCTGGAATATGGCTCATCTCTTTGTCTAAAATCCATGCTGTATATGTTATTTAATCCAATAGTCAATTAGGCATCTTTTTGTTGTTATTGTTGTTGTTGTCTTGCTGTGTTTTGTTTTTTGAGCACAGGGTTTCTCTGTGTAACCCTGGCTGTGCTGGAACTTGTTCTGTAGAGCAGGCTGGCCCTGAACTCATGGAGTTCTACCTGCCACTGCCTCCTGAGTGCTGGCAATGAAGGTATGTGCCACCACTGCTGGGATCAATTAGACATCTTGATAATGAGATCAACTCCTTTGGTATCATAGTACTTGTGTTCAAGTAATTTGTATCTTATGTAATGACGACCCAATGAGTGATGTGGTAATCCAGGAATATCAGAGAGGAGCTTCCTTTAAGTGAAAGGTGAAAGTCCTGAAAGATGCTTTGAAACAGAGACCACACTCGTGAAATTTAATTATGAGATACTGTTACGAGCATTCTGTTTTAGCCAGGTGGTGGAGATACACGCATTTGATCCCAGTACTTAGAAAGCAGAGGCAGGTAGATCTCTGTGAGTTCTAAGCTAGCCTGGTCTACAGAACCAGTTCCAGGACAGCCAGGGCTACACAGAGAAACCCTGTCTCCAAAATCAAAACAAAACAAATCTACTTTAATTAGGAGGTATTAAGTTATTTCTGGGCCTAACATAAACTTTGTCATTTGTATGTATGTATAGAAAACAAACAAACAAACATTCTAGAGTTCAAGGCATGCACTTGAGGAAAAGGGGAGACTAATTACAAAATGTCACATAAAAAGTGGAGTCAGGGATGAGGATATTGCTTAGTAGTGATTCAAGGTCCTGACCAGTTTCAACCCCAGTATTTCCTCCTTTCTGGGAGAAGTGGAGTTACATATGACCTGTTAAGGGGGCCAGAATAGAAAGACACAATACGGAAAAAAAAAAAAAAAAAAAAAAAAAAGAAAGACACAATACTCCTCTGGAAAAAACATAAGCATGGAGGTGAATTTTTATTCCTATTATAATGATTGTATGAATGCGACCAACTCAATGAAATTTTTGCCTTTGGAGCACAAGGAAACACCTTTGAACTTTGTTCAGGCTTACACTGTAGTGCTAAAGCTGGCCCTCTGACTCCCTCTAAACTAGAGAAAGGTCAACCTGTTTCTCATATTTTTATATTGTGGGATGGGTGGGTGAAGGATGGCAGCTGGTGGTGAGAGGTTTAAAAAGTGCATCTTCACAGTCCCTCCCATAAGGTTAGTAAGCATTGTACCATCAGATGGATATCGTTGGGAGGGAGGCTTGTCATTACTACCATCCCTTGTTCTTGACTTTCCCTCTCTTCTTTTTATTGATTTTTTTTCCCCCTGGTTTCTAGTGGTGCTGAGACTTGAACCCTTGAGAATGGATATGTGTTTTATGACTGAGCTACATCCCAGAATTGTACCTCATTTTACCCAGCTTTCTGGGATCAGGGGCTAACTATTATTTATTTAGCTCCTATATGTCACGCATGTATGCATTATCTCACTTAAGCCTCCTAGGAAGCATTATTATCTAATACAGGTCAGTAAAAAGCATCTTTCTTGGAATCAAAATCACGGCTTTGCCAGTTTTGTGACTCTGATAATTTTAAGACTTTCTTTCTTCATTTGTAAAATGAGGCTATTGATTCCTTCCTTGAGGAGCTGCCGGATGCGCAGTAAGTGGTCAAGTCTGATCATTTGCTTAAGGTCATATTATTTGGAAGGTGGCCTCAGATTCTAGTTTGCCTAACTCTACAGCAAATGTTTTTTTGTACAACTACTTGGCAATTAGCTATAATCATTTTGAGTGAGTCCTGTGAAGTCCGCTGAGCTTCTCGTTCTTCGTATGCAAGTGAGGATAGCATTATTTTATAGAGTTCATTCATTAAATGTTTCTGGGCAAGGTGTGGGCTTAGGCAGAGACTCCATTTCGTTCCACGGAGGTTATTTAGCCTTTACCTGTGTTTAGTTCCTTAGCTTCCAACAGAGCTCTGACAGCACTCGACCGAGCAGATGGGCGGCCGCACAAGCAAATTCACTGGACTCAACATTCCCCTTTTTTTTTTCTTTTTCCCCCTTCCACCTAGGCTCCCGCCCCACCCAGCGCCAGACCACGCCCCGGCGCGTGACGTCAGCACGCCCCGTGCGTCGCGGCGCGGCGCTTACTGGGGGCCCGGCTTTCGCCCGCTGCTGCCGCCGCCGCCGGCCGCGGCTGCTCTCCCAAGATGGCGGCTCCTCCGGGCGAGTACTTCAGCGTTGGGAGCCAGGTGTCGTGCCGGACGTGCCAGGAGCAGCGGCTGCAGGGCGAGGTGGTAGCTTTTGACTACCAGTCCAAAATGCTGGCTCTAAGTATCCTTCTCTGCGTGGACCCCGAGGCCGGGCCGGCGTGTAGGTGCGGTGGTGGGGGGGGCAGGGGACGGCGGCGGCGGCAGCTAGGGCCCTCTCCCGGCCTAGGGGCGACCGGCTACCGCGGCGCCCCGGGCGCATGCGCATGGCCCTGCGTTCCCTTCCCCCTCCCGCGGGCCTTTCGGTCCACTTTGGGGACCCTTGTCTCCCACCCCTTGTGGGAGCTGGGCCCCAGCTGAGGGATGGTGGGTGGAGCGGAGCTTGACACGCGGGTGGCTTTCCGGGAGGGAACGGCGTGTGGAGGGGACCCCGTGATTAAGGGAGGGGGTCGTGGTGGGGAGTGGGCTGGAGATGGGAGCCCGGATGGAGTGAGGAGCGGTAGAATGCTATGGGGAGGGTTTGGAGGGTCAGGAACTGCTAGTAGGACAAGGAGTGGGCTGTCTGCTGATGAGATTTGGTTCAAGAAAGGGCGGTGGGATAGTGGTCATATGGGCCTTGCCAGTTTGGGGTAGGAAGTACAGGACGGAGTTTGATCTGAACTGGTGGCTGATTTTGCTGGAGTCGTGTATGCTTGGTGTCACCGTGAGTGGGGTGTTTTCGGTCATTTGAAAATTGCTGTTTAGGGGGTGTTGGGATTGGAAGCCTGGTCCGGGAGAGGACCTGCCACGTTTTTCAGGGGTTTATGTATGACAGTGGGCTCCTCCTGTTGAGTTCAACACATTTCATAGTAATGTCCTCCCGTTTTAGAGTACCCACTGTTAAGCTGTTTGGAAGAGGTGGGCCTGCTCCCTTGGGGTGGAAATGATTTCTGAATTACTCCAGTAAATTCACTGTTGGAAAACCTAACACTTCCTGGTTGGAATAAGTGTCCATTGCTTCCCACTTTATTTGAGCCACAGGTGGATTTACTTGAATTATTTATTTTTAGAAGGTTGCCTCTGTCTTTAAAATTAAGTTCCCTACAGAGTCTGCTGTCTTTTAACTAATATTAATCATGAATTGTCGTCTTCTAGCTCAGAAATATTTTTTTTATAAACTTCATACAAGGACAGTTCTTTTTTTCTTGTGTTATTTTAGAAGCAAGAGATCATACTTGGCCTAAAACCTCTTCCTTTGGTGCCTTAGACATTCAGCAGCATCTTAGTAAATAGTTGGAAAATGAATGGATGGATGAATGAATTAGGTCTCATCTTGGGTAGCTTCCTTCCCAATGGTGTAGTTTTGCCTCTGGAAAGTGGGACATTTCAAGTGTGAAAAAGAGAAAAAAACATGAAGTCTTAATAATTGAGAAGCACTCTCCAGATACAGGGAGACATTTGGGTATCACCCCCAAAGGTGAAAGCAGTGAGTCTTTGTGTCACCTGAGTTGAAGACAAAACAGTGCATATGGCATTTGCATTTCTTTCCATTAAACCCATGGAGAGAAAGTGAGGCTTTCAGTTTCTGGCTGTATATGGCTCTAAAAAACGTGAGATCCTTTAGCTATGCATTTGGGGGAGCAAGGTAACTTTTTTGTTGTCCTGGACTCATTTGTAAGTGGGCTTAAAGGCATGTGCCAGGGGTTTTTATTTATTTATTTATTTATTTTTGAGGAGAGCTGAGACTCAGTGTTTGCCTTTTCTATAAGCCTGTATTCTTTTCTTTTCTCTTTTTTTTTTTTCTCTGTGTAGCCCTGGTTGTCCTGGAACACACTCTGTAGACCAGGCTGGTCTCAAACTCACGGAGATCTGCCTGTGCCTGCCTCCCTGGGATTACAGGTGTGTACCCCCACTGCCCTGTTGCCTGTATTGTTTTTTATGCTCCTTGTGCAACATGCCTTTGTCCTATTTTCCTTAACTTTATTTTCTCACCAGAATGTCCCTCTTCCAGCGGAAAGCCCAACCACGCAGACATCTTGCTTATAAACTTACAGTATGTTTCAGAAGTGGAAATAATTAATGATCGAACAGAAACCCCACCTCCCCTAGCTTCACTCAATGTTAGTAAGGTAAGGACTCAAGGACAGTTCTAGCTGTCGGAAATGTTGGGAAGGGGGCTTGTCAACTTTTGGAAACATATACATTGTTTTATTATGCATGCTTTTAAAAATTGTCTTAACCATTGCTTATTCTATCTTTTCTTGAGGTGGGGAACTACTTTGTCTTTTTTCCCTTTTGAGACAGGTTCTCATGTATTTCATGCTAACCTTGAACTTAATATATGGCCAAGGATGGACTTTGAACTTCATATTTTCCTGACTCTGCTTCCTAAGTGCTGTGATGTAGCATGTGCTACCACATATAGTTTCTATGATGATGGGATCAAACACAGGGCCTCCTGCATGCTAGGCAAGCACACTACCAACTTCTTCCCCAGCTTTCCTTGGTTTATATGAGAGGGTCTTAAGTAGCCTGGCCTGGCCTTGAATTTTTTATGTAGACTTTGTAATAATGACCTTGAATCCGGATTTTTCTGACTGTACCTCTTAAGTGCTAAAATTACAAGTGAGCACCACTTAAGCACCACTTATACCTGGCTTGTATCTTTTCTTGTAATTTTCCCTGTTATTTGGGATTATCTTTGTTACACCTTAAATATCTTTGAGCTGGTCTTGATGATACACACCTTTAATGCCAGCACTTGGGAGGTAGAGATAGGTAGATCTCTGTGAGTTCAAGGCCAGCTTGGTCTATAGATCGAGTTCCAGGACAGGTAGGGCTCTAGATAGAGAATCTTTTTTGGAAAGACCAAAAAAAAAAGAAGAAAATAATTATCTTCAGTGGTATATGCCTATAATCTCAGCACAGGAAGTTCAAAAGTTCAGGGTCCTCCTCAGCTGCAGAATGAGTTTGAGGCCAACCTGGAATTCATGAGACCTGACAAAGGTGGAAAAAAATATAAACCTCTCTTGAAAGTTGGACATGGTGGTACGTTTGTAGTTCCAGCATGCAGAAGAGGCAAGAGGATTACTTCAAATCTGAGGCTAGTCTGGTTTACATTGCAGATTCTAAATTGGAACAGAATACAAATAGGAATAATAGTAGTGATGATTCATTTGTGTAGTCTTTTTTTTTTTTTTTTTTTTTTTGAGACAGGGTCTCACTATGTATGGTTGGCTTGGAACTTAATAAAAAAAAAAAAAAAAAAAAAACCAAGTGGCCCTGCATTCAAGATTCACCTGCTTCTACCTCTCAAGTGTTTGGATTAAAGCTTTGAGTCATCATGCCCAAGCCTGTGTGTTATGTGTGTTGTGTGTATGTGTGTTCAAGTGCCCTGGAGCTGGACTGATGGGCTGCTGTGAGGGCTGCTGTGAGCTGCCTGATGGGTGGTCAGATTCTTTGGAAGAGCATCAGATGCTCTTAACCACTCAACCATCTAGCTCTCCAGCCACTACCCAGCCTAATCTTATACTCAATTAGAGTTGACAGCGTGCTTTTGCTATCGTTCGTTCATTCATTCATTCATTCATTCATTCATTCATTCGTTTCGTTTTTCCAGACTGGGTCTCTTTGTTTCTCTGGCTGTCTTGGATTTTCTTTGTAGACCAGGCAGGCCTGGAACTCTTGCCTCTGCCTTCCTGGGCACTGGGATTTAAGGTGTGTGCTGCCACACCCCAATGCTTTTACCCTTTATAAAGAGCACTTGTGTGAACACATTTGGAGGCTGGAGGTTGACATAGGATGTCCTCCTCTTTCACTTTTTTTTCTTATTTTTTGAGACAGGGTCTTGTTAGACCTGGCACTCATTGATTCAGTTAACTGGCTGGCCAGAAAACTCCAGGGTACTGTATGCCCCTCCCCAGAGAACAGAGTCCAGACACAAGCCACCACACCCAGCCTTTGACATGGGTCCTAGGAATTGAAATTATGGCCTCCTGTGTGGCCAACACTTCAATTGATCCATCACCCAGCAGTCTTTCGCCATCACCCCTTTTTTAAACCTAGAGTCTGTGTATTAATTTTTGGTGGTGGTATGGTTGACAAGGGGTCTTTCCCACTGACCTAGGGTTATGTGATGTGGATATTTGTACATATGTATGAGGATTCAGGAGTGTTTCATGAACCTAAAAAACTTTGAAAGTCATAACCCACATGTGGTGGTACATGCCTTTAGTCCCAGCGCTCAGGAAGCAGAGGCAGGCGGATCTTTGAGTTCAAGGCCAGCCTGGTCTGTACAGTACGATCAGGACAGCCAAGACTACGAGGAGAAACTGTCTCAAAAACAAAGCAAACTCACAAACAAATTTAAAAGCCACTGCATTGAAGTTTCATTTTTTTTTCTTCATATTTAATTTCAGGTCTTTAGATGTTTAGGGGTTTTTTTGTTTGTTTGTTTGTTTGTTTGTTTTTTGAGACAGGGTTTCTCTATATACCCTTATCCTGTCCTGGACTTACTTTGTAAACCAGTCTGGCCTCAGAACTCCTATCAATCCACCCGCCTCTTGCCTCTCTGAGTTCTGGGATTAAAGGCATGGCTGCCACTCCTGCCCTGTTGAGGATATTTTAATCTCACATGTGCAAATTTATGGGAACCCCAGATCACATCATTTGACTCCAGTTCAATTAGTCAAACACAATGTTGATCAGTGGTGATTCCCCACCCGCCCCCAAGCCTTGCTAGAGCCTGTCATGTCTCCTCTACTCTTTCAGAATGGCTGGAAACTTAGTTATTGAGACTTCTCTGCTAAGTGGGCCTGAAATATTCTGTTTCCAGTATTCTGAAGTATTCTGATTTATCTTGGTATAGTGTCCTTCCTACCTAATAGCTGATAGCACAACTGGGACCTTTTTTTGTTTGTTTGTTTTTGTTGGAGGGTGAGCTTTCGTTTTACATTTGGTACAGAGTGATGTATGCTGGGTAAACTGTGCCCTAAAATCACCCTGTGTATAACCTTTTTGTAATCATATGTTCTTTGTCTTGTCAAACTTGAAGAATGCCTATCATACTTGTTAGGTTCACTTATTTTTTTCAAGACAGCTTTCCCTGGCTGTCCTGGGCTTGCTTTGATCCATCTGCCTCTGCCTCCCAAGTGCTGGGATTAAAGGCATGTGCTACCACGCCTGACTTCACTTATGTGTTTTATTATAGTTCCAGGACATGGTCTATGTTAGGCAAGCGCTGTACCCTTAAGCTACACCCTTAGATTCACTATTAAGTATATTGCACAGAGTAGGTGCTTAATGGACAACTTCAACTTGCTGGGCGTGAGTTAGGCCTTTAGTAACAGCTGTCTGGGATTGGCTTGGTGTGGAAGTTTTTCCCTGTAGAGGAGGCTTGTAATAATGTATATTCTCTTGCCTCTAGGGACTGTGGTATGTTTGCTACAGTTCAGCAAAGCAAGGAAACACTTAGGTGGCTGCAACAATAGGTAGAGGGAGTGAATGCAGTTAGTTACATGAGATCTGGAGCTCCCTGTCAGATTCCAGGGGAACAACACCTGTTTTTGTTTGTTTGTTTTTACTCTTGGAAGGGTCCTGAAGGTAGTGTTATTCTGGCTGTCCCAGTTTTTGAAGCTTGTAGATATTTAAAACCCTGGCTTAGTCAGATGCCTCCTACTAGAATATTGGAGCTCTTTGGGTGGCCTTCTGTTACAGCTCATGAAATTTTAAGACATTTGAATGAAGTGATTTATTCCCAGGGTGTTAGAACTGCAGTCTGTTGCCCTTTGTAATCATGAAAAGTCTCTCAACTGAACCTTAGTGAATAGTAATGATTATTAGAAACAGGATGATTTTCTTAAAAAGATACTAAAGAATAAAAGGATAACAGATCCCTGTCTTTAGGACCAAGTACCACCATTGAGAAGGGTTGGGTGGTGTACGCCGTGCATGCTGAGAAATGAGTCTGTGAGCGTGTAAACACACGTGCACCATTACACAGTAGAATTTTTGACATTTAGTTTCAGATCATGGCACCCCTTGCTTTTTGTGGATTACCTTTGCTTTCAGTTTTGGCTTTGTGCTACTTAGTGTTGTTGGTTTGTTTTTGTTTTTTAATTTGATTTTTTTGTTTGTCTTTTTTTTTTTTTTTTGAGACAGGGTTTCTCTGTGTAGTGTTGGCTGTACTAGAACTCACTCTATAGATCAGGCTGCCTTTGAACTCACAGCCATCCACCTGCTTCTGCCTCCTGAGTGCTGGGATCAAAGGGGTGTGTCACCACACCCAGTTCTATTTTGATTTTTTTTTTTTTTTTTTTTTTTTTGAGATAGGTTTTCATGGCTCCCAGGTTGGTCTCAAGCTCACTGCAACTCAGGTTGACCTTGAATTTCTGAGCCTCAACCTTCCAAGTGCTGAGATTGTAGATATGTGCCACCACTAGGCATTGCTGGTTAGTCTTATTTACCAGCATTGTTTACCCACTTTTATAAATAAGCATTAAGAAGCACTAGTTTCAGAAACATCAGAACTTTTTCCCCTAGAGCTGAACAGCTTGCTTGCCTATTCTGGAAAAGGTTTGCTAGGAAGAAAAGCCAGGTACTAAGATTAGGTTGGGAGTTCGGTTGTCTCGGTTCATTTCATTCTTCATTTGCAGAGGTGTTTATGAGTAAACTGTCTTCTTTCCTTTTAAACCATTCCTCCTTGCATACTGACTCAGGTGACTGCCTCCTGGGCTCTTACTGAAAATAGTCTGAGTGGCTGTTACAGGTTGCTTGGGTGACATGAACAGTTCTTGGAGTGAGCATGTAGCTCCGAGGTAGAATGCTTGCTTAGCATGCACAATCATTGCTGTCCTGGAGCTTCCTGTGCAGACCAACCTGGCCTTGAAGGGTGCTCCTACCTCTGCCTCCCAAGTGCTGAGCGTGTGCTACCCCACCCACCAGTCTACTGGTTTTGATCCCTACTGTTGCCCCTTCCTCAATTTTGTCTCATTTTTGAGAACACGGACTTGAGTTTCCTAATGTTGGAGGGCTGTTTAAGCATGTGGGAGGGAAGCAGTGTTCTCTCAGGTACCTGGAAAGAAGCTGGCATAGTGCAGGGTGTCAGAGTTTATAGTCTGGGAACCAATGC